CAATAGTTGGCGGTTAATGGTGATGACTTACACTGCTAAATTAGGGACGGCTAGCGCAGATAGCCCTCATGTAGCTTTGCGCGAAATACAAAACAAACAAACAAATTTTACCATTTTTATGATAAAAGAAATAACTCCGGAGTAGCTTCCTAGTACAGTATCTCCAAGTTTCCCTGGTTAGACAGAGGTAAGTTTACGGACTTACAACGATAAAAATCTATGGTTCGATTCTCCGTGGTCAACGCAGCAGATGGCCCAATCTGGCTTTGCTCTAAAACAAACAAAACAAACCAATTAACCTTCCAGTCGCAGGTGAAGAAATTAGGTAATTCGCAAAAGAAAACAATAACCCGCCAATCAATTAGGGGGTGGAACCCAGGTGCTCCAACCATTAACGTATGGAGTTCATCTACTCAGCCACCGTCCGCACACTCTTGTGAATATGGTAATCACCCACTAATACCAATTTTTTTAAATGGGAGAGAGAAAACATTCCAAGATGATAAACAGAACTCTTTTAAATTTTGTGTAATTTTCTGATGTCAGTTTTTATAATCACTCAAGAAATGTTTCAAAATTCAAATTCAATATGATTACTTATAAAGATTTTTTTTAATGTTTTAGTTTGTTTGTTATGTTATCTGTACTTTATTCACCACAGGTATCGAAATCCGGTTTTTAGCGTTGTAAACCATCAGCCTTTCTGCTGAGCTACTGGAGGACAGAATGTTTTAGCTTAAAGCAGTTGTTGAATAATTATTCTCAAATACATGGCAAAACCTGAGTGAAACAAATAGGATTAACTAACTACCCCTAAAAAAAGTGACACATCGAACTAAGTATTTCTTTTAGAAAGGGAAAGATCGAAATTACTAGTTTGAATATGAAATGACATTGAAATATTTATAACAATTAACATATCCTAATGGTTTCAGTTGTCATCCATTATTCAATCTACAAAGCTTGGTCCAGATTTCAAGGGAGTCAAGATTAATGCCTTCTCTCCTTATGCGACTGGTGGGATTCTCATGAATGTCACAGTGCATTTGGATGAAAGAGAAACTACCAGGACGACACTTATCAAAGAAACTCTACGCAAGGAACTGTTAGAAGCTATCGAGAAACAAAACCAAAACCTAGGAGGCAGTCATTTATACGTAGCAGAGTCTAAGATCCAGTTCCTATCGTTGAAGGTTCGATTTTTTTCCCCTAAAAGTGAATTTAAGAATATTGATTTGTTATTTGTTTTAAAGAACACCTTTCTAAGTTTATCGGAGAATTTTTTTTATGTTTTTGAGAAAAGGTGAGACATTGAGATTACTTATACGTGTATTATATATTCATTCCAATGGGAGTAAAAGGATATTCACTTGTGGGATTTGGAGCTCATTATTCCGAGAAAATAGCTTGTTTTACCAAAGATATTCATTTATTGTAGGATTTGGAACACGTTGTTTTAAAAAAATATATTTTGTTTTACAATAAATTTCTCCAAAAATATTTATCTTTTTTTTTCTCGGAGGGAAATAAAAATTATTTATTTGTTTTATTTTTAAAAATTGAAACGTTATTTTGATTAAATATTTTATGTTTTTCAAGAATCTACACATAATTACTTACGAATCACACTCAGTGCTACATTCTTTGTTTTGTGTAGTTTTAGTCTTTTTCAATACCTTTATACTAACGTAATTAAATCGAATTACAGCGGATATCTGAATTGAAGAAAACAGAAGTGCACCTGCTGAGTGTCTGTAAACGTAATCACTTTGGAATTGTTGTGAATATTAAGTGTTTTTGAAAGTTTTTGTCTAGTTATTAACATTTCAACAAAAATGTTTCGATACTATTTTATGTTGATTTCTTAAAACGCATCTCTACTTTCTTGGATTTCATCTTCAGATTTGGACGAATGTGATGATCCCGATCTTCATGACTGCTCTGAGAAAAGCTCCTGTGAAAATGAATTTGGTTCTTTCCGCTGTGTGTGCAAGGCTGGTTTTATGGACAAGTTCCCGGATGATAGGTGGAAGAGTGGTCGTTCTTGTTCTGGTGAGAATTTGTTTGTTTAAAGTTATGCACAAAGCTACACAATGGGCTATCTGTGCTCTACCCACCACGGGTATCGAAACCCGATTTCTAG